TGCGTGCCTTGCACCTCAAGGTCGGGGAAGAGAAGGAAGACTTCACGAGCTCGTTCAAGGGTGCATAATCTATGGAAAGAGGCCGCATCCTGCCTATTCTAGGCGACAGACAGCCAGCCAGCCAGATAGGCCATTGCCAAACAGGAGTTCAGCAGGCAGTTCAGACCAATGCCAACGAGAGGAGTTGGGGTAAAAAACGGAAGGGAAACGAAAAGGAACAAGTCACCAGAGTCTTTGGAGAGTGATGAAGGAAAAAGGAAAAAGGACAGGAAAATGGATAGGTAGAATGTATAGTACCACATGAGGGCTTTTCGCGTGTTACCTCCTCTACTTTCTTTCAAGCGGTTCTTACTTCGGAGCCTCTGCATCAGCTTTGGGTGCTTAGTCTAGTTGTTGAAGGATTTAACAACAGAGAGGACGGAAATAAAAGAGTTTGAAAAGCTTCTTCGAGTCGCGCAAGTGATAACAACTGAGCCACCTATCCGCCTGTGGTTTTTATGACCAAGTCGCCCGGGAGGGAAAAAATAGCTCGATATGACATTCAATTACCTCGACCGCAAGCTGGTCGGTCGTCCATCCGTTATATGAATGCTTGCAATTATTACAAACTACCATTCTACAATTATACTCCCTTACTTATAGCTAAGCTCTCTTCACCCAAGAGGATTCGGCCTCGCCCTAATCTCCCTAATCACCTCCCTCGTCCTCGGGTTATCCTCAAAGCTGAGATTGACCAAATCCACCACCTCGTCCGCCGAGAAATACAAGCTCAACTCGCTCTCCAGCCACAGATACCGCACGTCCTTGAGGTTGCTCTGCAGCACTTCCGACAGGTACTTGAGGCGCAACCACGAACCCGCGTACTGCGCCGTTGTGGGGATTTCGTTGGTCTCACCAGCATTACCGCTCTCGGTGGCAAAGCGACTAGGCAGGAACAAATCGTCCAAAGCCGTGACTGAAGCAATGTGGTTAGCAATGTTGTAAGCCTCGTCCTGGCCGATACCCGGCAAATCCATGACGTCGCCAATGATCTTGTTGGCGACGGCGTCGACGAGCGAGCCGACGGCTTGCTGCCAGGCTGAGCGAGAGAGGATGGATTCCCAGGCGATGGCGAGGGAGCGCACGCGGGCGACGGCGGCGGAGACGCAGGATTCGGTGTCGTCTTGCTGGATGAGGTTCTGTTCGCCTGTGAATTTGAGGGCTAGGTGTTAGTTACAGGTCAAGAGGGTGGTCTCAAAGAGGTTATGGTTAGCAGCGGGCGGAACTTACCCCCTAAGAGATCCCTGAGCACTGTCTTTTGGATGCTCATCTCGTTGCTATACGCGCGGTTTGCGAAGCTTTGCATGGACTTAATGTCGTTATCCAGTCTTAGCATGGTTTGCGCCCGTGTGCTGATATTGTCCCTCTTCACCCACTCCTCGGCGAACTCAGCTAGCCGCTCCGACAGGTAGGTAGCATCGTTGTAGAGAAACCTTTGATCTGGTTAACATCTCGACGTTAGGTAACAAGTATGGTTGTGCACTCACATGTTTCCGCCAAGGTCGGGAGCGTAGTAGTGGGGGGCAACGGCACGGAACATGGCCAGCGCAAGAGTGGGAAGACCGAAGAGTCCGGCGGCAGCTGCAGCAACGGGGCTGTTGGCATAGGTCCCCTGGGTTAATGCTGCTCCATCTTCGACGAGAGAAGATATCAAGTCTAGGACCGGCTGTGGCAGGGATGAGATGCTGTAGGTCTCCTTGAAAGTCAACTCCCGTGTCTGTGGTTTTGACGAAGCTGATGGGGCGGTTGGTGCTGGTTCCGGCGCAGTATCGTCATTCTGGGCGTCATCGCCCCAGCCCCAGGCCTCAGTGGGATCATCGTCCTCCTCCTGCTTTTGCTTCTTCTGCTGAGGTTCCTCCGACTTCTCTGGTTCAGGGTCTTCCTCACCCCAGCCCCAGGCATCGGCCGCATCATCGATAGCGTCCGCGGATGGTTCGGTGGCTGACGTTGTCGCAGCCGGTTTACTGGACTGTTGCCCACCAGTCTCTTGCTCGCCATCGGATCCCCATGCATCCCAGCCACCATCGTCTTCGGTAACCATGGCTCCATTGGCGGCCAACTGCTGGCCCTCGGACTTTGACACCACCTGTTTTTCGACCCTTTCGACTTGCTTCGATGCGCCCAGTCCCTGAGACAATTGCGTCCTCATTTGGTCCAGAGCAGCCTCTCTTCGTTTCGACAGCCATACTCTAGGTGCACTTTCGGTCCACTCTTGTAGTTCATTGAGATGCGACAATCCCAGTGCTTTGAGAGTGGTGCAGAAGCCCTTTGTTGTTGATATTGTCGCTTGAAATCTATCCATTTCCTCAAGCGAGGATGGAACGGCCAAGTCGAGCCAAGTTTTGGTGATGGTTGGGATGAGACCTGGTAGTAAGACAGTTGAGATGGTCTCAACCAGATCTGGCGCCAGCTTTTCGACCAGGAAGGCAAAGATCTGTTCTAAATCTCGGAACACAGCCTCAATAGACTGATCGGATGTTCCTCCTATCTCCAACGTGTTTTCATTAATCCTGATACTGGGCAAACGTTCTTGCTTGATGTCGAGTCTGGGAGCAAGAATAGCCTTGTCAATATCGTGCCATAGTTGGGCTGCGCGTTGATCGACTTCCTTGTATGCCTTGAGGCCAATGACGGCATCGGATAGGCTCATGGCTTCGTCTACGATGGGTCAGATCTCGTGTGCCAACAGCCTGTAGATATGGTGGCTTACCCTGCTTCGTGTCACTTATTGACACCTTGTGACCCTCGATATCAACGTGTATTAGAGTATTCCACACATGATCAAAGACTTGATGGACGTCCGACTTGAGTTCGAAGGCTCTGATATCAAGGAGTTTGATAGCACGACAAGACTTGTTGACGGGTACAGCGTCGAGCTCTTTCCATGATCCTGATGGCAGTATTAGCAACCGGCTCAGGCACTTCCTGGAAGCATTGTAGCTCACGTTCGAGTAGATGTAGAGCATCGAGAATACGACGTTCGTCCCGCGCTTGCTCAACTTGGTCGAGTATTTGGTTAACGGCCTTGATTCCCTTTAATGCGCTTCTCAACTGTGTGTTGTAGTCCAGCTCGCGGGCGAGAAAGGCAGCTCTTGCTTCGGCTTCCTCGATGGCTTTCCCTGACGCCTGTGGCGCTTCCGACTGTTTCAGGATATCGTTCGCTAGAGCTTTTGACCGAATAATGTCGTCTTGGACCGATTGGGCGTTTGTTTTCCATGTTCGGACATCGTCGGCGGTTTCTTCGTTGATGGTGTGTATCTCGGCCTACAAACAAGTGCAAAGCCTCAGCAAAGGGTTTATAGGCGTGGGTCGAGAAGTGAATGGTTGGTACCTGGAGCTTGGCTTTTGCACTGGCGAGTGCTTCAATGGCTGCTGGGAGCGCGTCTGAGTCTACCGTTAAGGATGATACCGATTCTTCTGGGAACGCTCCCTCGACAGAGAAGTCTACGAGGGCCTGAGCAATCTGCCCAGCCGGCGAGTCTGGCGTCGCAACGGCCATGCTGTCCTGATATGTTGGTTTAGGTGTGGATATGTGGCTCGAGATTGGAATTGCAACTCGAGTGGCAGCGGATCTGAGTCCGGTCGACTGCCTAGGCGTTTCGTGGTGTCATACGCGGACTAGGTAGGTACTGCTGCTGATGTGTCACAGTTGTCGCGAACTTTGTTGGTTGGTGTTGACAAGCAAGTTGCGGCCAGCTTGGCTGTCGATAAGTTGAATCAATGGATGGCATTGATGACACCCACTGACAGCACCCCCTGTACGTACTGCCAAGACTTGTTTTAGGGGAGATCATGTGGGGCGTGCTTGATGCGGCGCCAATCGGGACCGGGCTGGCCGTCAAGGGACCTGAAAGCTCCCCCGGCCGCTGGGACGGAAGGTGAGACGGCGCCGTGTAACTACAGTTGTAGTTAGCGCCGGATGCCCCTCAATTATCTTGTTGTCGTTGAGGTCGTGGCAGTTACAAGTTCTCGTGGATCTCCATTTCTGATTCATAAACCTCCATCTTGCGGGAGCTACTGATCGTATCTATATAAATCTATTCCAGTTCACATATGTGAACTTGGAATACGACGACGGGAAGTGAGTTCAAAATTTTTATTTCCATTCTCGGAGCTTTCCCCACGGGGTCCTGCCTCTGTGCTCCATGGTCCTCCGCCCCTCATTCCTTCCCGCTCATCACAAGAGGAACCTGCATCTGGGCCAGTCTCAAGGAGGGGCAACTTCCCTTGAAACTTTCTTTTGGTGGACTTCCTTTCCTGTCAACAACACGGACCTCAATCTGATAACTTTTACTTTCTCTTCCGTATAAAAAGGTCCATCAACCCTGCCTCAACTATCCATACGTCGACTCCAGGCTGCTCAACCGCCATTATTCAGAGCAACCTCGCCTTTCTGGTCTTACTCGACCTGCAGCAGATTCCCGGCGGCCTGGCAAACATCTTCGTTCAGACAGTTGCACCGGTAAGAGAGTCTTGTACACTTCACCTCGAGATACACACCAACCTGCATTCAGTTGTCAGCAGCCAGCCTCGATTCGCCGAGTCCTCCTTCTTCAAATCCATATCTTGCCAGCCTTGCTCCCTTTTCTCCCCCACAACTCCCCTCGATTCTCCCTTCCCCAAGCATCCTGTTCTATTTCATCACGCATTCCTCCTGCCCCAAGGGCCTATGACAAGATGCTATTCTTCAGACGCTCAGTCATGTTCTTTGGGACTCTAGCAACGGGCAGTGTAGTTGCCACCACAGCCGACTCACGGGTTAACAATAGCACTTCCTGTGATATTCCCACGGTGATTTTCCCATATAATTCTTGGTACCTCCTCCCTTTTCATCATGGTCGAGCATGAGGAGAAGGGGGACTCAGCTACATAAACCCCCATATAAACCTGTGGGCTCCCCAAGATGTAGCTTTTCAGGAGTCTATGGAAAAGTAGCATTATCACTTGCAAAAGATGTCATCATTTTGGAGACTTTCCGTGGCATTTCTACTGTTACGACTTTTATCTCACTAGTCATGGGCTAATCCTCTTCCCAGTAACGTTCAAGGCTCTTTGCCCACAATCAGCAGCAACATGTCGACAGCACCAAGGTTCCGTAAGGTGCAAACCTTCGAGACCGACTATGCCCCGACGACAATCACCCAATACGTCTCAGAGCGTACTGGCATGCAGGTCATTGTGGCAGATCGCAAGGGTCCGAAAATCAACGGTTACTTTACCCTCGCTACCGAAATCTTTGACGACTCCGGTGCCCCTCACACTCTGGAGCATCTGGTCTTCATGGGCTCCAAGAACTACCAATACAAGGGTCTCTTGGACAAGCTAGCTGGACGTGCCTACTCTGGTACAAATGCATGGACTGCCGTTGACCATACCGCTTATACGCTTGAGACGGCTGGTTGGGACGGCTTCGCTCAGATTCTACCCGTCTATCTAGAGCACGTCATTCTTCCTACTCTCACCGACGATGGATGCGTGACCGAAGTTCACCATATCGACGGCGAGGGCAACGATGCGGGTGTGGTGTACTCCGAGATGCAGGCTATCCAGTACTCGAGCCAGGAGCTTATGGACTTGCGTGCCCGTCGGTTGCTGTACCCCGAAAATGTCGGATTCCGCTACGAGACCGGCGGTATGATGGATGCCCTCAGAGTGTTGACCCCAGACCGCATCCGCGAGTTCCACAAGGCCATGTATCAACCTCAAAACCTGGCTGTCATCATTGTCGGCGAGGCGAACCATGAGAATCTTTTGGATATCTTGGATAAGTTTGAGGAGAGCATCAAGGACGACATCCCCCCTCCTGACCCCAACTTCAAGCGCCCATTTGTCGACTCTCCTCAACCGCCTCCCCTGAAGGAAACAGTTGTCGAGACTGTTGAGTTTCCTGAGGAGGATGAGTCTACTGGCGAGATCGTGATGGCCTTCTTCGGTCCCAGCTGCGTTGACCAGTTGCAAGCAACGGCTCTCAACATCTTGTTGACATACCTCTGTGGCTCCTCCGTGTCTGTGATCGAAAACACCATTGTTGAGAAGGAGGAATTGGCCAGCTCAGTGTCCTTCTGGTGGGATACTCGCCCCAACTCCGTTATCTGGTTCCAGCCAACCGGTGTCGCTACCGAGAAGCTCGCCTTTGTCGAGGAGCGCCTTATTTCGCTTCTGAAGGAGGTTGCATCCAAGCCACTCGATATGGGGTACATGAAGGAGTGCATCTCGCGCGAGTTGCGTCAGATCAAGTACCATGCTGAAGGTTCGGAACAGTTCTACTCCAGCAATATCATCACCGACTACTTGTTTGGAAAGCGTGACGGCTCTACCCTGAGGGAACTTCAGACTTTGGGCGAGTACGATGTCCTTGCTGGCTGGGAGGAGGAGCAGTGGCGTGACTTCCTCAAGAAGTGGATTTCAGACGCACCTCACGTGTCCATCCTGGGGAAGCCCTCTATGGAACTCGCCAAGAAGCTCAAGAAGACAGAGAAGGAGCGTCTCGCCAAGAGGAGAGAAGAGTTGGGAGAGGAGGGCCTAAAGAAGCTGAAGGAGAAGGTTAAGAAGGCTAAGCAAAACAACGAGAAGCCTATCCCTCCTGAGGTGCTCGATCAGTGGCCGGTTCCTGACACATCGTCCATCCACTTCATTGAGTCGTTGACAGCAAGAAGCGGCAAGGCCCGCAGCCTCGGAACTACCGATAAATCGGCCCAGAAGATCATTGATGCGGCACCCCAAGGCGCTAAGCCTCTATTTCTCCAGTTTGAGGACGTTCCTACCAACTTTGTACACCTTACTTTGCACGTCGGAACATCGGCGACGCCCAACAGGCTCAAGCCTCTCCTCCCTCTGTTCGCAGACAACTTCTTCAACTCGCCGGTCATGCGCGATGGCAAACGCATGGAGTTTGAAGATGTTGTTAAGCAACTCGAGAAGGACACCATCAGCTACCACCTGAACAGTGCTTCGCGCATTGGTGATAACGAAGGTATGGCTCTGCAGTTCCAGGTGGATCTCGACAAGTACACCACTATGATCAGCTGGCTTCGCACACTGATGTTTGACATCGTCTTCGATCCCGTCCGTCTCAAGGCCGCTGTTGTCAAAGCCCTTGCCGATATTCCCGAGGCGAAAAGAGACGGCAGAGTCATGTCTCGCGAAGTCGATCAGTCCATCCATCTACTGCCGGAGTCTTACTCTGTCGCTAAGCGGACGCTCGTCAAGGCGGTTTACTACCGTCGCCTGAAGAAACTTCTCGAGAAGGAACCCGAGACCGTCGTCTCCTGGTTCGAGGAACTGCGCCGTAGTCTTTTCACCTTCGAGAACCTCCGCGTCCTTGTCAACGCCCACGTTGAGAAGCTCCCCAACCCCATTGCGGCCTGGGACAGCTTCACCGAGATCCCCGACCTCGACACCTCCAAGGATCTCCTACCCGTCATCCGCCCGCACCAGATGCTGAGCGACGAGGGCAAGGCTCCCGGCTCCTTCGGCAGCGTCGTCATCCCCATGACCACGCTTGACTCCTCCTTCAGCGTCAGCACCGCCAGCGGCATCAAGTCCTACTCCGATCCCCGCTTGCCCGCCTACCTCGTCGCCCTCTCCTACCTCGAGACCACCGAGGGTCCCTTGTGGAACGCCGTCCGCGGCAACGGTCTCGCCTACGGCGTCCACTTTGGCCGCGAGTCCGACTCGGGCTACATCCAGTTCCACGTGTACCGGTCGCCCGATGCCAGCAAGGCCATCGAGGCCAGCAGGAACACGGTGGCCAAGATCGCTTCCGGTGAGGAGCCGCTGGACAAGCATCTGGTCGAGGGCGCCATCAGCGGTCTGGTGCTGGCTGTCGCGGACGAGCAGGCTACCATGACGGCGGCGGCGCAGCAGAACTTTGTGAGCAACGTCATCCGCGGTCAGGAGCCCGGTTGGAACAAGAAGCTTCTGGCGCGCATTCGCGAGGTGACGGGCGATCAGATTCGCGAGGCTTTGAGGGAGCTTGTCTTGCCCGTCTTTGAGCCGGGCAAGAGTAACGTTGTTGTTACTTGTGCTCCTATTATGGAAGAGGTGAGTTCATCCCTGGCCTGTTGTCGTTTTATCATGCCATATACTAACAGTCATACTTTACAGAACATGGTCAAGAATCTTGAGGCCATCGGGTACAAGACCCAAGTCCAGCCTCTTACGCACTTCTACGATGACTACGGCTTGAAGGCTGACGAGGACGAGGAGGATGAAGAGGAAGAGGAGGATGAGGATGATGATGATCATCATCACCATCACGGCTGCGGAAGCGAGTGCGAGAGCGAGTGCGGAAGCGAATGTGACTCGGATGAGGAAATGTCGGACTAAGATGTCTTGACCTGTGTCATCTGATAAACTACCATCTTTCTGTGGAGACCACAAATACTCTACTAGAATAATTGAACATTGTTAGAAACGTTGGTAAGGGCTGGGCGAGGCGTAGGTGATTGAGGCTAAGCGTGAACTAAGCGTAAGTTTGATGGCCCCAGTGAAGTGTAGAGTCTATTTAATGATTATATGAAAATAAACTGCTCCGTGACTATGTGTTTTGGGCTTTAAGCACCTGCAACTAGTGTCGATCGCAAGTTTCTTTTTATTTACCGATCTACTGTATTGTATGTAAGTTGTATTAGGTTTGAGGTCATCATTCCGTCGTTATATATAGTGTGTACCCTCTCTCTGCTTCTCATCTATATCGCTCACAACTCTTTTCTAACACAAAGTGAAGTGTTGAAAGTATATGCGCCGCTTTCTTGCTCTTTCTCTATCGCCATCCCTTCTTCCCTTCTCATTGATCGTCAAACATCTTGCTTGTTATATTCCATCCCATCGTTGAGAATACTCAGTCAACCAACCAACAACATCAGATGGATAATCATGCCTCGACACTTCCCATAGTCCCCGTCCCATCCCCACCTCCCCCTTCCGCCTGCGCCAACAACCTCTTCCGCCAATTATTACACACCTCCTCGAACCCGCCCACCACTTCGCCACAGACGTGCGCGCACTCGCGATTCCGCAGCCTCTCGCTCCAGTTGCCCCTGCTCAGCCAGCGCTCGCCCTGCTCCCTCAATTCTTCCTCGCGCTTGAGCTCCGCCACCAGCTCGCGCGCGCTTTTGAGGCGTCTCGTCGCCGTCGTCGTCGTCTGCCGCGACATGTGCAGCGTATCGGACAGGTAGTTGAGCGTCTGGACCAAGTCCGTGGTGATGGTGTGCAGCGAGGCGAGCTGGGCGAAGGCGGCCGTCGAGGGCCGCGGCATGCACGTAGAGAGGCTGACCAGCATGGGCAGCAATTCGTCGATCGCTTCGGCATCTGGGGCGGGCGAGAGCGGGGAGAGGAGTGGGAAGCTGAGACTGTGTAGTTGTCGGGTTTGGTGGGTTAGGTGGGTTGTTAGGGCTGAGTGGGCGGTTATTAATCTGTTTGGAGAAAAGGGGTGTGAGTTATGGTGGTTCTTTGTAAGGTAAGGAGGGGGCGGGTTGAAAACGAACCTTGTAGCACCACCTTCCACGCCGGCTTGTGAACCTAGATCGCGGAGACCCTCGGTCACTCGCTGAAATGCCCCGTCGGCCGCCGAGCCATTGTTTTCTGTGCCTCTTCGCGCAAGCGACTCGACCTCAGCCATCTTCTCCACCAGTCTGGGCGACAGTCCGGACAGCTCTAGGTCCGACTCAGAGCCGTATTCACTTCCGTCGTACTCGCTCACCTTTCGGCGGTGGTGGTGATGGTGGCCCCTTCCGTTCGGCGAGAGTTGTGATTTTAGACTTGCGCGCTGGCGGCTCCGGGGACTTGCCACGTCGACACCGCTATCCCGTATACCACCCCCATCCTTTGGCATAGGCGTCGGGAGCAAGTCCTCCTCTTCGCCTTTGAAATCCATGTTGGGTGCCTCTTCGCCTTCTTGACCCTCAAAGTAGTCGTCTTCGCCGTCTGAAAAGGCATCGGCTAGTTCGTCAGCTAGGTTACCCAGCCCGCCGCCGTTGTCCATGCCTCCGTTTCCAAACATGCCAATGTCCATCGCAGGGCCCACCGAGGAGTTGAAACTGTTTCGTGAGGGCGTTAAAGGGTCGTTAAACGACGACTTGTGTGAAAGGGCGGGGCCCTCTTGCGGGTCGTTAAACGACGACTTGTGTGAAAGGGCGCGGCCCTCTTGCGGGGAGTAGGACGCCGCGGATCTGAGGTTCTCCATGGAGGGGTACGGCGAGTGCCGTGGTGTTTGCGGTGAAGACGGCGTCATGGTGTGGGTGTTGTAACCTGTTGGATTATCCGAAAGCAATGTTTCCCTAATAATTCCCTTCCCCCGCGCGCGGTAGGCGAACAAGGCGAGAAGTATTCGGAAAGACGAACGGCTGGTGTCTGCTTAAAGCGGTGCGCGGCGCAGGTTGTGATTGTTCGCGGACTGGGATACTCTTGTGAAGCGAGACGACGTAGCGTAGTATCCGGACGCGGGAGAGTTGGATTAAGGTAGACGGCCAGGAAAGGTCGGACGTATGAGACGAGTTCGTTAGGCGGTAGGTAGAGAGGGACAGGCGCGGGTCCGTAGGTGGTGTTGAGAGATGTAGTTGTTGGGCGGTCGGTCGGTCTCGGTCGGTGAGGGGGATCTGTTTCGGGCTGTACTGGGGACTTTCGTGAATGCGTCGGAATCCCTTTTGTTGTCTCGAAACGTTGAGGAACAAAGCACCTTGGCTAGAGAGACGTAAGAAGGCAACTCTTGCTTTGGCCTTGAGAGTGATGAAGTGTTGAAGTGGATAAGGTGAGTGAATGGGGACTTGGAAGGATAGCGCGAGCGGTGATTCGTAGTCGTGGCCAGGGGCATTGAGCAATGCCTAGGAGTAGCTGCGAGCGATGTGACAGCGGTTCTGAGGTGGTGCAGAGTGATGGTCCTGGAATTTCGTCTTGGATGATCTCGGCGGTTTGACCATCAAGCCCGGACTGTCAGGGGCAAGCGACTACGGACGGGAGTACCGAGAAGGAAACATCCATCCATGGACCATGAAACGAGACGGGAAGGCGGAACTTGAAGGGTCCCCAGCTGCGGGCTCATGCCAGGGGCAACTGAATCGCTGGCGGGCAGATGGCTTTGCTCAGTTCCAGGAGCCTGTGCCACCTCAGGTACCGTCTGCCCCGCATTGACATCTGGCACGCGTGGGGCACCACACTGCCCCTGGAGGTCCAAGCAGTTGGGCAGCTATCGACGTCAAAGCACACCACACTAACAGCTTGTAGTGTAGTCGCAACCTAGCTCTGTTAAAAGCACTAAATCATCCTTGCTTCTTCATCCCGTACGTTACGGTCCTATCAAATATCTTCAACTCAAAATATCACCACAGCATCGAAACAGAAGGAGTTCCTGAGACACTCACAAAATGGCCAACTTCCGCCAATTCCGCCCAGATGACCTGAACAAGTTCTCAAAGTGCAACCTCGACCCTTTCACAGAAACATACGAGCTTGGATTTTACTTGCAGTACCATGCAAAGTGGCCATCGCTCTTCCAGGTCGCTGAGGATCAGCATGGCAACATAATTGGATACAGTGAGCACTTACTTATTTCACTCCCTTTGTTTGACTCTATACTCACATACACCAACAGTCATGGGCAAACTTGAGTCCTCACCAGACTACTACAAGTTCTCAGAGCACTACCTTCCCTGGCACGCCCACATCACCGCAGTCACCGTAGCGCCCGAGGCTCGTCGTCTGGGCATCGGCAAGATGCTTACCGAACAGCTTGAGGCCGCTGCCGACGCCAACGACGCCTGGTTCGTCGACCTGTTTGTGAGGAGCACCAACCACAAGGCCATCCAGTTCTACAAGAGCATGGGGTACAGCATCTTCCGCACCGTCAAGGACTACTACGGCGACCACTCGAGCGACCCGACCAAGTCGTCAGAAGACGCCTACGACATGCGCAAACCCATGAAGAGAGACGTTAAGAAGGAGCACATTCGGGAAGATGGCGAGAAGTTTGAGGTGGACCCGAGCGATGTGTGGTGAAAAGATTCTCTCCCTGGAAAGAGGACTTCGTTATTCCACTCATGCTTGCCCGGGTGCTGTTGAGACTGCGACTCGTCAGGGTGCTACCAACATATCACACCCACCGATGCAGAAACGACAAGTTGGGGCGCCGCAGATGCTGAATTGAATCCAGCTGCTTCGAACCAAGCATTGGGCATGCGTAGCAACGGGAGAAGAGAGGGTTTCGAGAGACACCAGGCCTTGTAAACGACCAGGCCTTTTGACATGCAGCAACAGCTCGAGTGGCCGTTTCGTTGTGGGTGGCTCTCCACACGTCCTATAAGCTGGGTACGTGGTAAGATGATGAAATGACTTTTTCCTCATCATATACTGATCGTGAGTTTCTTCTGTCAAAACCTCAGTCACGATCAAGATCACAGTCATCCTGCAATGCCTCTTCTAGACCTTCCCATCGCCATTCAAGTGTTCACAAGTTGACGGGATTTTGTCGGCAAATGTGTCATGAGCCTTAATGGATTGCTAGCGGAAAGCAGAGAAATCATTACGCAAGGTGGTAGATCAAATAGAGGTCGTAACCAAGGTTTACGTGCAGATGACAGCAGCGCTTGGGTGTTTGGTGACGACGCTATGGTGAGGTCGTCTCTCTTTGGTTGTATCTCCAAAACTCCATGATAGCCGGACAACACCTGGTTTGTAACTCACCTCCATCTAAAATACCCAAACCCCTTTTGAGCACATCAAAATGTTGTGCCTTCCTTCCTTCGTCCGGCTTGAGGATAACGCATTAAAAAAAGCGATCAGAAGAACAAAAGTGCAAAAAAAAAAAAAAAAAAACGTGGACTTACAGCTACCGGGTTCGAACGCGCAGCGTACACGAGAGCCGGGGGAAGGAAAGGATGGGGGGGCCAACAACCTTGACCGCTGCGCCATCTTAACCAACTTGCCACGGAAGGAGTGACGCAGGAAGTAGTACATATACCGTGAAGGAGCTAGGTTGCGGGCTATGTAGTGTCCTTTGGGCGACGGGCCCAGTCGAAGTTGGGATGGAAACGGGCGGGAGGGAAACATATGGAAGGTGCCAAACACGATTTGCGTTGAGCGATGGATTATCGGACTAGAGCGACTTCCCGCCTCGCTCATAGCTTGCTCGCCCTGTCCCCGTTCAAATACGCCTGACCCAACTTCAACTGCTCAACCGCCTCCTGTACCATCTCCTCCACGATCTCCCCAGCCGGCTGCACCTTCTTCACCAACCCCGCCACCTGTCCCATCAGATGCGGCGGGTCAATCTCGTTCCCTTGATCCATATCCCACTCGATCGGCACGATGCCCTTGCCCGTCAGCTCCGCAATCTTCTCCGGCTGCGCATGCCACTTGGCGATATACCCGTTCGTCTTCATCCTTAGCGGCCTCCCGCTGAGCACCAGCGTCCGCTCGGTATCCTGAAACCCGCACGTCACCACCGCCTCCTTGTGCTGCTCACTGCAGCTCGCCTCCTTGCTGGCCACGAACCTCGTTCCCACCCAAACGCCCGCCGCCCCCTGCATCAAGCTGCTCGCCAGCCCTCTGCCATCCGCGATACCGCCGGCCGCCACCACCAGCGCCGGATGATCCGTGGTACCCAATACCTTGTTCAGAATCTGGGGTTTAAACGTCCTCGCCACGTCCACCACCGAGGGGATCAGCACGCTGTTAGCCACGTCGCCCGTGTGTCCACCACCTTCGCCTCCCTGGGCGCACACCATGTCGACACCCAATTCCAGCGCCTTGACGGCGTGCTTGGGGTGTCCGACCATGTTCATGACCAGGATCCCGTTGGCGTGCAGCTTGTCGATGATGCGCTTGGGCGGCACGCCCACGGCCGACACGAACAGCTTGGCGCCGCTCTCGATGGTGATGTCGATCAGCTCGTCCAGCTTGCCGCCCGTGTAGTCGTGGTTGGTCTTGCGGGCGGAGCCGCCGATCTGCGGGAGCGCCAGGTCGACGCCGAAGGGCAGGTCCGGGCGAGTGAAGTTGGCTTTCATCTCGGCGATGATGGAGCGCAGCTGGTCGGGCGTGTACATGAAGCCGCCGATGACGCCGAGGCCGCCGGCGTTGGAGACGGCAGCCGCGAGGAGACCGCCAGAGACGCGGGCCATGCCGGCGAGGATGATGGGGTGTTTGATCCCCAAGAGGGTGGTGAGAGGGGTTGTGATGGGCCCTGTAGGCGCGGTGGTTGATGGTGCCATGGTTGCTAGTGAGTTTGAGCGCGACCGATGTGTAAGTGATTAGATATGTGCCAGACGAAGGTAAGGAGTGGTTGGATCGCGAGTGTTGTCTGTCATACAGTAGGTGGTAGATGTCACACAAGGTAGTTCACTCGGGGAGAAAGTAAGGGGAAGAAGCTCTACAAAGACGAAAAGGAGGTGAGAGCTTGATATCCAATACCGTTGTCAGGTCGATCTCAAAGAATTTGGTATCAGCTCCAAGGACCCGACATTAGTGAACTCCGAGCGCGAAAGAATTGGGATGAACGGCGGGATCTGGCATGAACCTCCACTGACGTCTCCCATAACGTCGTATCGTGGTCCCTTTGGAGGAATGGTGGAGTCCGGGGTAGACGGGGGTAGGTCTTGGGATGCGGGGAAGCCGAACAGGGGAGGTGAGAGCCGGAGCCGAGGCACCCTCCACCAATGCTGTCCCCCTGGATTGTGAATGGTTGACATGTTCATCATTGACTTTCTTTGACCTTCAGGCCCCGCGTTTGGACGCATCGCCACATGCTTTCAGATGTTAAACATGCCGTTGAATCCGTCCATTTATACTAATCAAAATACGTGGGCACTCTGCCACTTGGACCTCGACGGGCTGCTCTTCATGATCGAGGTGTTGTTCGAGGCCGATACAGGTAGTTTGACTATGGTGCTCTTCTTAGCCAGGCTTCTCACCATGTAGACAATAACAAAGACGCTCCCAATTCGAAACCATCATTCAAACCAACCTATGTTATAACTCATAGCCGACTACTCCAAAAGGGACCCCAACTCCGGTCTATAGATTGCCGTCAACGATAGCCTCTTTCGTGTCTTTTGACTTTTGTGTGGAGAGCATCTCATGTTTCTATCAGTTCGCCTTGAACTGAAAACTCCGTCTTCCAATCAAACCACCAATATAATTCTCATGGGGAACCTGTAGCCGCACACCCCTTCGTTGTTTATGTTCATTAAAGTCGTAACTGAAGCATCTATCCCGCAGAGCCGTGATACCGTATGATCCGTTTTGTAGCCCCCAACAGTCCCTGTTTACTGGACCCACATTATCAGGCCTGATCTTTCATCCAAAATGAGGCAACCGTGCCGGTATGAATTCGAGCTCTGTGTTATTTCCTTCGAGCTTTGCCGTCGTGCTCTCCTTCACGCCTCCATTATGGTTCTGCTTGGCTACAGGAGTGTCGTTGTTCCTGACATCCGTAAAAGCTGGGAGTTTCGTCTCCCTCACTTCATCCTCAGGGATCTTCCTTGTCTCGTCGCTTTGTGTTGTGTTCATCTGTAGAATGGGTTCTTCGGGAGTCGATCCGTGGTTAACTTCGGCTTGCTTTGATTCCAGCTCCGGTTCCAGTTTCGGTGCTGGTTCTGGCTTGGGAGTCCCCTCCTCTTCTTTGCGCAATCCACGCTGTGCGGCCAAGCGAGACGCAGCCTTTCTCTTGCGTTCAATCTCTTCGTACTCTTCCCTCTCAGCCAGTTCTTCCTCTCGTTGCAAATCCTCCAGCGATGGCGTCGGCAGGGCATCCTCTGAGCCCGATGTTGGGAAAATAGTGGTGTCATCGATCTGGTAGGCCGAGTAGGTTGACGCTATCGTAGTCCTTGACACTGATCTCAATATCCCTGACTCCCTATCTCCGTTCGCCGGCCGTTTCCCCTTCGTACTTCTCGTCCTGTTACTGCTCCCGTCATCCACGCGGCCAAAAGCGACCGCGAATTCGTCGTCTAACGGCACCGCATCCTCATCGCCCTCGCCATCACTTGGGAAAATGTCGTTCCTCGATCGATACGAACTCGATGACGTGCCCTCTGACTCGCCAGTATTACTGCGCGGCCTCAACTGTGGCGATTCCCTTGCATGTTGTTCGTGGATTCGAGCATGCTCACCCTCCTCCAAGCTTGTCCCCAGCAACGGCTCATTCTCGTCTCGATGCCGGCGCCCTCCCGGCTGTTGTTGTCCAGGCACAAGTGCACCCGGGTGGTCCCGTAAGTTCGCTGCTGAAGGCTTGTACCTCAGTGTGCCGCCAAACTTGAAGGGCAACCGCCCTAAAAACCCTAGCGGTGCCGTCCTTGGAATGACAGTCGGATCGTCCTCGGGCAGGGAAGCCTTCCTCCTCGGTCCTCCTCTTGTCCCATAACTCATTCCTCTCTTCCGCCTCGGTTGATCCACCACGTCCCCCGTGCCACCGGCCGCATGTCTCCGATCGTTTCCCGTCCCTGCCAGTAAGCGATCCCAGTCCTCGCCGCCCCAGCCGCCGAAGAGTCCTCCTCCTCCACTACTGGTGGCCCTTTGATCCGCGGCGAAATCATCGTCCCAGTCGTCGTAGAAATCAAACATATACTCGGCTCTCGTCCGGTGAGCTCCGCGGTCTCGCTCGCGCGCGCGTCGGGCACGCTCTTCACGGTCCCCGAGACATAGGCTCGTGCAGCTGTCGATGGAGTCGGCGAGAGAAGAAAGGCAGGGGGTGATGTATGTGTGCTGGAAGGTCCAGATGCCGGCCGCGGCGTTCTCGGTTACCGCCTCGGCGTTGTGGGAGATCTGGTTCCAGCGCTGCCGTAGACGGGGATCTTGGATGAACGCCATCGCGCACGGTATGTGTGAATGTGAACGATCGGCCGGGACAGACTGTAGCTGTGTTGGAAAGAGGATGAAAGTCGAATTTCGGTTCCGTGTTAATCTGTTATTGGGTGCCGAAGACGGAAGCTAAGGTCGCAATCAGATACGCGGTCCGCGGCCCACGCCTAACTTGGGCTGCGAGATGATAAAGAGTCTGAAAGTTTAAAGCGACGATGTGTTATATGTCGATTCATTCGAGGAGACGGTTCAATGGGTGGAGAAATTGGACTGTCAAATCCGGCTGGAATGTGTATTCGTCCGCATGGGGTCCGGCGACTGGATTTGTGAAGTCAATCTGTCGCGTTCGGCACAACCCGCTAGCGTAGAAGGCAATAACAGAGGTAGGTTCGTGTCTTGGTCAATGATCCGCCTTTTATCGAGTTTCTAGCGACGCCTGTGCTGGTAAATGACAAGTGAATAAGGAGTTGAACGGTTTAGAATCACAAGCAATCCCAATGTTTCAGGTCTGCCCGTGCTATTGCCGCCTTTTGGTGGTGGTTGTGCTATCCCATGTTCGGCTTTTTAGCCCAGCCGTTCAAATCGGTGTGCGTATGATGCAGCTGAACTTGGTTAGAAACAACCTCGACCGAATACCGAGATAGGAAATTCCGCAGTCAATCGGGGGGTAAACTGGGAGTCTGGTCCGTTGTCGTCGGCAAGCGCATGTCTTGCAGGGACGTCGAGGATAGATACCTAGAAATGAGGGAGAGATGTTGGTGTACGGAGAAATTCCCCCAAGTCCATCCTTTGTTGCAAGCAGAAAGTCTGACACTGCCATTTCAGTAGTGGAAATTGTTAGGGCGGCATCAAGGGTTCCAGGCTTCCAACACTGCAAGCTGCAGCCGTAACATGAAAACAAATGCCCAGGGGAAAGTGGGGCGCTACTACCGGTATGCGGGGTTGTTGAAGCCAAGTTGACGGGAATGGTCCGCAGAGGTACGAGGACATCGATTGGCACCAAGCACGTTCATCGGACTGCAACAGCTCAAGTATCCATGATATCATCGAAACTCGTTTCCTAGGCCATCAAGCACCGAGTCTCTCCTGCAACTGCTGTATTTCTTCACTAGACAGTACTACACTAATACGGTAACGTCGTTACCGGTTCATGCCAGTCGATACGTCTGGATAAACAAATAGGTTGAGATAGTCCACTGAGCATATCGACAGCCAAGTCGTAACCTCGGTGTTTCACTGCATACCCTTAACCCGAGCCGTTCTCGAGGGACAGAAACCCTGGAAAATGAGCATGCCGATATCCATCTAGCAAAGTTGATACGCGCCGTTAGCGGTAAGGGCGGCCTTGGTGGGAACGGGGGCAGGAGCGGGGGCAGGAGCGGGAGCAGGAGGGGGCGGCCGCTCAGGCCCGTACGGCTGGGGTTGATGATGCTGCTGCATCTGCTGCTCGTCCTCGGTTTCATCGTCGTACTCGTCGCCCTCGTCACTCACTTCCTCATCTCCTTCTTCGTCGTACTCGTCTTCGTACTCGCTCTCGTCCCCCTCAAGCTCTCCTTCACCTTCCGCATAGCCCATTTCAACCGCGCCAGCCAGCCCTTGCGGGATCCCCCGGCCCTGCTGCTGCATCTGTTTAATGATGCCATTCAGCTTCTCGCACTTTTTCTTGAGGTCCTCGATCTCGGCCAAGTACTTGTTCCGCTCCTCCGCCATCTTGAGGATGTTGCCATTCACCTGCTCGTGCTTTCTCTTGAGGTTCTCGTTTTCCCTCTCGAGACGTTTTGTCTTCTTAGACATATCTTCCATCTCCTTGCGGAATGTAAGAAACAAGTCGTTGCTATTGTTCAACGTGTCCTCAACCTAGCCATGCTGTCAGCCTTCTTCATCCCCACTCCGTCTTGGTACCATTATCGGCTAGTACGGACCTGCTTGAACTTATCCACGTAGACATTGAGTTGTTGTCTCAGCTCCGTCTCCGTCTTTGAGAAGGTCTGCACCTGGGCGTTTAACTGTCTTGATCGCGCCAATTCGGCCTCGTAGTTCTTCTTTTCACGCTCAAACCTAGCGAGGTTGTATTGGACTTCGAGCTCCTTGGTCCGCATTTGCGCATGGAAGTGGAGTTCCCTCAGCTCGTACTGTTCAATCAGAGATTTGAACCGCTGGCGAAAGCTGGTGGCAGTGAGCAAGTGTAACAATAGAACCAAGCAAGAGATGGGGCCGTTACTGACAATTCATCCATTTCCATGTCCACTACTTGCTTGCGCGGATTGTCCTTTTCTTCCTGATAGTCGTCCATTCGACGAAGAAGAGCAGAATACCTCTCATCCCATGAGTTCTGACTTCGAACCTGCGTATCCGATAGCGTCTTGTTCTCGTTCTAGGTAGAAGAGTAATGTCAGTAACCCTGAACGCTACTCTAACACACATATGATCCCATACCTTGAGCTTGTTATTCTCTTTTTGCAGTTCGCGGCAGAGTTTCTCAAGCTTCTCTTTAAGCGATGTTGTCTTGTTGAGTTCGTTGCGGCTGTTGTCCTTGTCCTTCTGTAGCTGATCACCTCGTTTCTTGTTCTTGATGCTTTCACGTTCGAGCCTCTTCATCTCAGCCAGCAAGTCCGCACATCGTTTGGTCAGATGATCAATCTTTTGGAGGTCGTTCATCCGCGAGGTCTGGCTGTGTAGCTCCCTACTAGCTTTCTTGACCTCTCGTTCTGCGCACGGCTTGCTGTCAGCGCCTTCTCTTTCATCCAAAGCCAAGAGAGCCCGTTTTGACAAGGCCCCTCTATCCTTTTCCAGCCCGTCTACGTCCCAATCGAGACAGGAGGGTGGTCTGAAGACATGCAGCAAATGTTGACTGAGGAGGTTCGGTCAACGACTGTCGAGTGTTTCTGAGCCTTCCGCCCCCCCTTATCGATCCCATCACATCCGTCATTGCCCTCTCAAGCGCCCAGCAGGGAGTAGGGACAAACACGCACCTATTTCGGCCTCCTGGTCCTTTTCACCAGCGGCATCTTGCTCCAGTTGTGTGATCCTAGCAGCAATAAGCTTACTAGCCTCGTTCGGCTCGGGGGCCTTTTTCGGTTTGCCCTTTTTGCCCGCCATGTTTACGGGGGGCGCAGGAGCCGGCCGGGTCTCATGGGCGTGGTTCGGGTGGCCATTCGTGGCAGGAGGGGGGTCGACCGGATGGTTTGCGGATCCATTGCTCATGGGTGTCGCAGGTCGAGGGCCGGATGTTGCAGTGACCGGAGGATTGGCGCTTGACATTGTCGAGGGACTGGCCTTGATGACGGAAACAGGCGTGTGGTCGGCAGTGGCCCCTCCGACTGGCAATGTCAAATGGATGTCAGTTGCAAAAGGCTTGCGTGTGCACTGCAGTGGTGCGTTGCTGCTAGCCTTGCCGCTCCGTCGTCGTCGTCAGTGTAGGCTGATGTTGTGCGCGCACAATAAAGAAATTGTATGTGTTGTTGTATGGAAGTTGTGTAGTCGAGTCGTTGCGTATTCGGGCGGCCGGGGCGGCAGCAGTCGTCGAGATGATGGCTGCGGAAGACTTTGATGTTTGGGAAAGGACGACCAGATCGCTATGGCGTCGGTTAATCTGACGGAGCGCGCGAATTGGATGACAGGTTCCGCTGCGTCTCAACAGCCCAGGCGGCAGGTACCTGCTCTCGGGCTTCGGGGCCAGCACGGACTATAAATCTGAAATCTAGTGCTTCCCGCCTTCCCATTCATGGTCGCTACTTCCCACAAGTGTACTTGTTGGCCACTATGGATATTAAGGTACCTGTATTGATATTATAATTTTAGAGGAAGGTACTCTTTCGCTACTGATGTTTTATTAAGAAGCAGATGATTGAAGCCCTCGAGGAACCAAACGGCGTTTTCATCTTCACTTCATCCGTGGCCCGCCGTGCATCGACCTCACATGTACAATGTGCTTTTGATAGTGTACTGACATGCTGCTCACAGACACTTCACCTCATAGATATTCGTCAGGTGCCGGTTGCCGTTCTTACTGGTGACATCCAGAAAGTTCAACGTTTAAGACACAGGACCCGTTGGCTTTACCAGACACATGAGGCTATACAGTAGCATTAAGTGAATAGAAGTCCGAAGAGCTTATAGTCAGGCCTACCTCTCCCGTTCAAGCAGAGCCATCTTCCTCTACCTGTACGTGTAAGTAGATGTCACTCGAGGTTACGAGCAGATAGACCAATACTTCTTTGTAGTCTCTTGGTTTAATGTTAAAGCGCTGACAAATCATACTCTTTGAAGTACCTTACTAACAACGTATCTCTTTCCGAGGCACGGCAAGTCATTGGTTTAAAGATCAGCCTCCTCGTGCAGCCACCAGCGTCCGTCGTCCCCTCAGCCCCACTATTCCCGACCCTGCCGGAGCACGGTTCAATTCCAGGTTTTCCACTGCCCTGGGCTCTCTTTTCCACTTGATTCCTTCCGAGGGGAGCTGGAGCCTGGCGACGCCGGTTGGCGGGCGGGGTGCTGAGGGGCGACGGAGTCAGTCGTCACCACCCCAGCTGCTCTGCCCACTGCCGCTGTGGCAGGCAGGCGAGGCAGGCCTAGCTCCGCGTCCCGTCAGCTCTGTTCCAACTGCCGCCAAACCGGACGCCTGAACTTGCACGCATTCATCAAGTATCATCACCATCACCATCGCCCTTTCCAGTCGCTTGCATAGTGCTAAACCCGGCCTCGGATTTCTGCCAGCACTTGGGTCTTCTCTACTGCGGCCAGAACGATGCTGCGCAACGCGACCAAAGGTGCAGCGCGCCGCGCCGTCACCGAGCTCTCCCAGTACCCGAAACCCGGCGAGAAACTCCACGGCTTCACCCTTGTCCGGTCAAAGCATGTCCCAGAGCTGGAATTGACTGCTTTGCACTTGCAACACGACAAGACCGGAGCAGAGCATTTGCACATTGCCCGTGACGACAGCAACAATGTCTTCTCTATCGGTTTCAAGACGAATCCCCCAGACGACACCGGTGTCCCTCATATCTTGGAGCACACCACTCTGTGTGGCAGTCAAAAGTATGCGAACCCGAACGGCCGGCATCGTCTGCATCATTCGCGCTGACGTGGAATTTCATTCAGATATCCCATCCGAGACCCATTCTTCAAGATGCTTCCGCGCACGCTTTCGAATTTCATGAACGCCTTTACAGCATCGGACCACACTTTCTACCCGTTCGCCACCACCAATGCCCAGGACTTCAAGAACCTCATGTCGGTCTACCTCGACGCGACTCTACATCCCCTCTTGAATGAGACGGACTTCACACAGGAA